ACTGGATCATTTTATTTTTTTTAATCTTTATTTATTTTTGAGAGAGACAGAGACAGAGTGTAAGTGGGGGAGGAACAGAGAGAGAGGGAGACACAGAATCAGCAGCAGGCTCCAGGCTGTCAGCACAGAGCCCAACTCAGGGCTCGAACTCACTCAAACTGTGAGATCATGACCTGAGCCGAAGTCGGATGCTTAACCTACTGAGCCACCCAGGCGCCCCTCCACTGGATCATTTTAAAAAGCAAATGAGTATGTCCAGTAACTCCCATCTTAAAAAAATAAGTTTCCTCAATTCCAAATTCTCTTTCATTTCCCATCCAATTTATCCATTACCTTTCAAAGAAAAACTTGAAGTAATTGTCTACAGACATTGATTTTCTTCATCTTCCATTGACTCTTCTGCCCGTTTCCAACTGCTTTCTATAACCACCATTTCACGGAACTGCTACTCCTGTTTAGATCCTCAGTGACTAGCTTGTTTTCAAGTCATTGTGTCCTACCTATGAACAGCATGTGACATAGCTGACTGCATTCCCATTCTTTTTTTTATAAAATTTTTAAAAATTTATTTATTTTTGAGAGACAGGGAGAGACAGAAAACAAGTGGGGGAGGAACAGAGAGAGAAGGAGACACAGAATCCAAAGCAGGCTCCAGGCTCCAAGCTGTCAGCACAGAGCCCCAAAGCGGGGCTCAAACGCACAAACCGTGAGATCATGACCTGAGTGAAAGTCAGACGCTTAACCGACTGAGCCACCCAGGTGCCCCTGCATTCCCATTCTTGAATCATTTTCCTCTCTTGGTTTTGTGGACACCACCCTTTCCTGATTTTCCTCTATCTCCCTGGCTTTCCCTTCTCTATCTTCCTTGCTGGCTGAATCTCCTTTATTAGACCTCAAAATGTTGATGACCCCATACTCTTCTCAATCCTGAGCTGTCCAATATAGTAGCACCTATCCACATGTGTCTATTTAAAATTAAAATAATTTAAATGAAATAAAATTAAAATCCAGTTCCTCAACTGTACTAACCACATTTCAAGTGCTCAGTAGGTGAATGTAGATAGTGGACAACATGGATGTAAAACCTTTCCATGAAAGCAGAAAGTTCTATTGCACAGGTCTGACCTATACTCCCTCCCTAGGTGATCTCACTCATTCCCATGGCTTTCAGCACCATGTTTATGCTGAGTTCTAAATTTATACCTCTAGCTCTGACCCAAGCTTCTGATTTGTACATGAAACTACCTATTTGACATAACCACTTGGATGTCTAACAGGTTATTCAAAGTAACATCCAAACCAGAACACTTCATTTTCATCCTCTCCTCCCCTTTCTCTACCCACAAAAGCTTGTTTCTCTTCCTGGCTGTCTATTCTTAGCAAATGACACCATCCAACCAGTTTTGAGGTGAAAACTCTAGAAGCCATCTTGATCTCCAATATCTAATCCATCAACAAGTCTTAATGACTCTATCCATAAAATGTATCTCAAATCTACCCTCTTCTATTTCCGCTGTCATCTTTCTAATCTAAGTTTCTTGTCTGGGCTATTGTCCTGTCCTATTCATATGAGATCCTCTGTACCTAAATCCGGCACATAGCAGGTTCTGAGTATTCAGTATAATCCTACTGAATAGTGCAAAATAATCCTAACTTTTAAAATATTCATGAATTATAGATATTTGCCAAAGAAACTTAAGAAAATAGAGTTAAGAAGATAATAAAAATCACTTCCCACAGACTTTACTTAAAATTAGTTATGGCTCAAAATTATTATTCATTTTGTCAATTATTAATACATTTTTCGTGCTTTCACAGCATACAATTTACTTTCATCTATCTGTAATTGGCATTGTCAGTGCAATTTACCTGCCCAAGAGAAATTTTAGTTACTGCCTCTTGCCACTAAGCCTTGCCTTTCCTGATTAATCCAGGACAGCTCCTTGACCTTGTGATTATCTATACATTTTGCGCCTGTCACAGCCCAATAGACATTGATTTTGCTCAGGAGTTCCCAACTTTGTTCCTGTCCCTGCCTGCCACCTAGCTCCTCTCTGCATTCCTCAGCTTTCTTGTCAGGAACACTGAACAGTTTGACCCTAGCCTTAATTCAGAATAACTCAACCAATAACTCTAAACAATGTCTGCTACTCTACCTCCATTCGCTCCATTTATTGGCAGCCCCTAAATGCTTGATCATCTCCATTCATTCCAGCTGCATGCCAATGTGGTCAAGCTGATATTTCCTACAGATACAGGTAACTACAAAAGTGAGGAGATGGGGTAAAGGAGAATGCATGGATGTCTTCTGAGACCTGCAGTCTAGTAATTATTAATATGCTTGACATCTACGTTGCCTGTGTCGGGTTACAAAGCCGTCTGGGACACAACAGTCTCACAGCAATCCAAACACTATTATTTGCCTAACCAACAATCATCTCTCCTCTACTCTCTTCCAACTTCTTCTCTCCAAGAGAATGACCATTGTGTTCAGTACCCACCCTCCATCAAATAGCCAGATACAACAGGTAACTGTACACCATCCTCCACCCGACCCCAGCCAGCTCTGAGGTGTCATTCCTTTTATGAATAATCAAGTGATATAAACACGGCCAGACAGTGTGAAAGAAAGTCTGCTGTGAGGGGTTCCAGAAAAGGTTTCCTCGCCCTTAAAAAAGAGACCCAATGACAAGATAACCTCTTTTTTTTTGGCTCCAGAGATTTCCCCATCTGGATGTAATTTCTAAGACCTTAACATCTTCTTTTAAGTATGAGGGGAGAGTCTTAGGTTGAAACGCTTGTTGGGAATAGTAGAGTGGGCAGATGAAAGAAAACTATATCCTTTGTAATATACTTAAGTTGTTTTTTATACCGTGCCAGAGGCCCTACCTCTGGACTTTGAACTATGTATTTATAAGCCCAAGGGATTCTGAATTCATCAAAATTTGATGCACTGAATTCTAAGCCCACAATTATTACTAGCTGAGAAATCTTAGGCAAACTATTTAACTTTTTTTTAATGTTTATTTATTAATTTACTTTGAGAGAGAGAAAGCACGAGTTGGGGAGAGGAAGAGAGAGAGGGAGAGAGAGAATCCCAAGAGCACAGAGCCTGACGCAGGTCTCAATCTCAGGAATCATGAGATCATGACCTGAGCCGAAATCAAAAGCAAGACACTTGGCCGACTGAGCCACCCACGTGCCCCAAACTATTTAATTGTTATAGAATCCGCGTCTTTACCTGTAAAGAGGGAAATAATAATTACTTTTTGGTCTTATTGTAAGGATGTAGGGTTAAGACGATTTGATGGAAGACTGAATATTCCGTGCTGTGAGGTCCATTAGCCAGAAAATGATGCTTTCACATCCCTAAATGTTTTCCACACTTGCCTAAGGGAAATTGACACACTGGTTAAATAACCTGATCCCAGGCCTCTCTTAAAAGACTGCATTTTAGAAGACACATTCTAGGGGCACCTGAGCGGCTCAGTTGGTTGAGTGTCTGACTTCAGCTCAGATTATGATCTCATGGTTGACGAGTTCAAGCCCCACATGAGGCTCTGTGCTGAGAGTTCAGAGCCTGGAGCCTGCTTTGGATTCGGTGTCTCCCTCTCTCTCTGCCCCTTCTCTGCTCATGCTCCATCTCCCTCTGTCTCGAAAATAACTAAACATTAAAAGACACATTTTAGGGGTGCCTGAGTGGCTCAGTTGGTTATGCATCTGGCTCTTGATTTTGGCTCACGTTATGATCTCATGGTTCCTATGATCGAGTGCCGACAGCACGGAGGCTGCTAAAGATTCTCTCTCTCTGCCCTTTCCCCATTTGCTCATTTGCTCTCGCTCTCAAAATAAGTAAATAAACATTTTTAAAAAAATTTTAAAAAGGGAAGACACATGCTAGGCTCTAGGCAAATGTGATAATCGAGCAAGTCTGAGCTTAGCAAAGGAATACACAATGCAATACTCCTATGAAGCAGGAGTTAGGATTTCTGGTTTCTAAGCCTAGATTTGCCACTATTTCACTCGAGCAGACTGTTTCATCTTTCAGGACCTGTTTATCTGTACACTTGTCCTATCTAACCTATAGGTCTGTACTGGACTGAAGGCAAATTACACTTGGGGTGAAGGGACTTCTGTAATCTCAGTATTTTTATATTGCTGCCATGTGGATTAAATAGACAACAAAAATGAGCAAAATTGGAGCTGGGGGAGGTGTTGGCTTTGTAGTAACTGAATACTAATTGTAGGACGCTGCCTTCTCTATCCTGCTACCTTGAGCCACTAAGCTTCCACTCCTCTCAGGACCATGGCATAACTGGAGGTGATCACCCTCTGCCACTCTGATCACACTGAGATCTGAGAAAATGCCTAGAAAAAGTTAAATACACGAGTGTTCGGAAAGAGATTCAGATGAGGGCCCTCAATTCAACTTTTTGTACCAAGGTACCTTTTATAGGCAAGCACAGTAATGTCTGCATGTGCAACAGAAACATTTTCCTTGGCAGAGAGAGAGAGAGGGAGAGAGCAAGGAAGACAAAAAAAAAAAAAAAAAAAAAAAAAAAAAAAAAAAAAAAAGAGGAAGAAGGAAAGGGGAGAGGAGAGAAAAGAGAAGAAAAAAGGCTGTATATGCTATTGGCCTCAGGTGGAATTCACAGTTAGTGGCGCTGGAACACCTCCTAACTTGGGAGCTCTGGGGCCTTTAGGGCGCACAGGCGGCCTGACTTCGTCACGGGGGGAAATCACACTTTTGCGCTTTACTTGCCGAATTTCACTTTGTGCTTGGACGGCAGCAGCGCAGAATCCGGGAGGCAAGCCATCAAAGTCCTCGGGGCTGGGGCTTCCGCGTCTCGCCCCGAACTCCTCCCAGCGTAGGCAAGCCCCGCCCATCAAGAGGGTCGCCACGCCCCGGTTGAGTCTCCACAGCGCCCGTACTTGTTGAACTTTGACCTCGTCTCAGAGGCCGCACGGGTGGGGGCTGTACGTATGTGTCGTAGCTACGCATGGTTAGCGTCCTTATTCTAGCCGCGGCGGGAGCTGCGGTGGCCGTGCTTCTTCTGGCACTGCGGCTGTGGGTTGTGCTCCATTCTCGGGTCCTTGTGCCCCGTCAGTCTCTCAGTCTCTTGGTGGTGGCTGGGTCCGGTAAGTAGTGGGGCGTGGGTCGGTGACTACAAACCCCAGAGTGCACCGCGACGCTCTCCTCTGGTCTCCTTAGCACTTTTGGAGCATTGCATGCTGCAATTTGTAGTTTCCCTGCGTTACCGGAACCGGTCAGCCCAGCCAGGGCGAAATACTGATTTGCTGACGCGGCCCAGGCATCTTTTAATGACAAATGAGTAACTTACGCTTGTCTATAATTGAGCTTCCCTGTAGCGTATATTTTTCTAACAAATTATTACATTACTATATTATGTATATTGGACGGAGGGGACGCAGCAGCTTTATGATGCCAGCTTGCAATTTTGCTGAGTAGTAAAAGCTGTTTTGCGTTGTTAATCTAGGCATGTTGTGTTTCGTTTAGAAATCACGAACACTGCATGATGAATGAAGCAAAGTGAATTGCCACATTTATAAATACACAAAATCCATGAGGATAGAAACAACTATCTCCTGACCATAGAACAATACACGTTTCAGAATATTGTGTCACAGTATGAACAACAAGCTGTCCTATCGGGTAATACAGTCAAAACAGAGATTACCAGCTCTGTAGGCGCTTACAATTTGAAATGGTCTAGTTCTGACAGAGACACATATATTGTGTATATTTAGAAATGCTAGGAGATGGCATCCAGATACAATAATAATTTTAGTATGAGCAAATGTTGTAAACCTATGTTCAAGTAGAATTCATTACTTTATTCGCTTAATCATGTGGAGATTTAGGAGAGACCAAGCATTATGCTAAACTCTGGAAATAACAGAACTAATACTACTACTTACGGTGGAGTAGTGACTGTGTCCCAAGCAGTGTGAAAGGTGCAAGGGTACGGCAGTGAAGGGAATGGAGATTAGATAAAACTAAAACAAAAAAACAAAATAGGTAATTGCTGTAATCTGGGACGTACAGACTGCTATGGAAGTCTTCAGGAAGGGCACCGCTTTATCTGAATGTGAGACCGGAAAATTCTGGGAAGAAGTGCTGTCTAAACTGAGACTTGAGAGATGACCAGGAAAGGGGAGCTGGGGCTTTGAGGACTGGAAGGGTGTGAAAAGAAGTTGATAGCACTTGCAAGGGCTGGCGGTGGGAGGGCACTGTTGCTTTGAGTTCAACGTGGAGAGGTAAACGAGGCGCAGATCCTGAAGAGCATTGTAAACCATGCTCTATAAAGCTATTAGCACTACTCCACTGCTTCGTTCCATTTAGGGGTTAGGAACACAGGTTCTAGATTGACATAATCCTGGAGTGGAGTCACATCTCTGCCACTTACTGACTTGGTGATCTTGGGCAAATTATTTAACCTCACTGAGCCTTCTGTTTCCACCTTAAAAAATATGGGATGAGAAGAGGTGAAGAGAGATTAAGTATGGAAGTATTAAAAGGGTTTAGCAAAGTGCTTGGCATATAATAAGCATTTAAAAAAAAAATTAGAGAGAGAGCAAGCGTGCATGGCAGGGCAGGGCAGAGGGAGAAAGAGAATCTCAAGCAGCCTCCATGCTCAGCGCAGGGCCCTAGTCAGAGCTCAATCTCAGGACTGTGAGATCATGACCTGAGTCCAAATCAAGAGTCAGATGCTTAACCGACTGAGCCACCTAGGCACCCCATTTAGGGTGACTGTCGTTAATCCTGGTAGCAAAGGATCTTTTAAAACACTTTTGAGTGGAGAGTGACCCAATTAAATCTAAGCTTTTACATAGATCATTCAGCCTACATTGTCAAGGGAATGTTTTGACAAAGATTGAAGTAGGGAGACAAGTAGGAACATTTTGAATAATTCAGATGACAAATGATGACAGCCAAACTAGGGTGATGGGTTTGGGGATGGAGAGAAGTATATGCATTTAAATAAGATTTAGGAGATAAAAAAATCACAGATCTTGTGGTTTAAAAGTAGGAAGTAAGGAAAGGAAAGGTTCAGGAATGATGTCCAGGTGTCTGTCTTGAATAAATGGATGAATGGATGTTACCGCCATTCATTTGACAGTATTAGATTTGGTGGACTGAGAACCAAAATTAAGACTGATAATTACTCTGGCAAATGGTCCTTGTCATTCAAACCATTCAAGGTAGGGAGAGGTCAAGGCCCTCAAAGAATCATCCAAGTCAAAGAAAGACTTATATTCAGATGAACAGTTTAACACTTCATGCCCAAAATGTTGGAGGAGGGGGAAGGCATTTTCAGTGTTTACCTTGACTACCTAAAAAATAGTCTTTAGATACCATAAAACGATATTAATCAACCACTTACATTCAAAGAACATCAATCGAAATTACTACTTTTACTTGAAACAACATATGATCTCCAAATTTTAGATTTAATATCAAATGCTCATCTACCCATTCATTCGATAATAGGAGTGCCTCCTGTTTTCTAAGCACTGGAGATACAGTAGTAATAAAATGAACAGAAGTCCCTGCCGTCATGTCATGGTTGAGCAAGGGTAGGGGGAGACAAAAACAAAAGAAATAAATAGATTTCATATTAAATTATATGGTGATAAATACTAGGGGGTAGGGAGGGGGATTGCATTTTAGAATTGTAAGGGAAAGCCTCCTTGGGGGAATGACAGGATGTCCAACAGCAGGGAGGCCACAGTGGCTGGAGTAGACTTAAAACTGGGTAGAAGCAGATGAGGCCCATAAGGTAACAAATTAAGGGGTTAGATTACAAGATGACTTTTATTCCATGTGAGAAGGGAAGCCACAGGAAGGTTTTGAGCGGAGGTAAATCATTTGATCAACTCTTTCTAATAGGGTCACAGTGGATGCTGTGTTGAGAATAGATGGACGTAGACACTTGAATAGACAAATGAAGCTGGGGGAGCAGACCAGGAAGCTATGGTCATAATCAATGTGAGTAATATGGCTTGGAGCTGGGTAGGAGCAAAGGAGATGGAGAGAAGAGATTGGATTCTGGGTGTATTTTTTTAAATACAATTTATTGTCAAATTGGCTGACATACAACACCCAGTGCTCATCCCAACGAGTGCCCTCCTCAATGCCCGTCACTCATTTTCCCCTCTCTCCCACCCCCGTGTCCACCCTCAGTTTGTTCTCTGTATTTCAGAGTCTCTTATGGTTTGCCTCCCTCCCTCTCTGTAACTATTTTCTCCCCTTCCCTTCCCCCATGGTCTTCTGTTAAGTTTCTTAAGATCCACATATGAGTGAAAACATATGATACCTGTCCTTCTCTGACTTATTTCACTCAACATAATACCTTCTAGTGTCATCCATATTGCTGCAAATGGCCAGATTTCATTCTTTCTCATTGCCAGGTAGTATTCCATTATATACATAAACCACATCTTCTTTATCCATTCGTCAATTGATGGACATTTGGGCTCTTTCCATAATTTGGCTATTGTTGAAAGTGCTGCTATAAACATTGGAGTACATGTGCCCCTATGCATCAGCACTCCTGTACCCTTTGGGTAAATTCCTAGTAGTGCTATTGCTGGGTCACAGGGTAGATCTA